GATTCCACGAGGATTTCTTCTGGGGCACGTCTCGAGCCACCTCGTGTGAGGAAGCCGCGTGGGTACACAATTCCTACGCCGCATTTGGTCGCGCGGTCGGCTTCAATTGCGCGACGGCTCTCTTGGACCTGTCAAAGTTCTACGAGCACGTCAGGTGGACGGACCTGTACGACGCCGCCCAGGAGTTCCACTTCCCGGCGCGGCTGCTGAAGGGCCTGTGCGTGCTGTGCAGCGGGCCCCGTCGCGTCTTGCACGGGGGCGCTGTGTCTGGGACCGCGCGGGCCAATGGCTCCATAATTGCCGGATGCTCGGCAGCCACGACACTCGCGAAACTGGTCCTCCTCCGGCCGCCCCGCGCTGCGCGAGCTGGTCGGCTTGGCCTGCAGATCCGGAACGTCGTGGACGACGTGGTCCTGCAGGCGACGGGGCGCCAGGACATGGTCGTCGCGAGCCTGGGGGGCGGCGTCGAATCTCTCCTGGGTTCCTTCAGGGACCTCTCGCTCCCCGTGAACATCGGCAAAAGCAAGTACTTGGCCAGCTCACGCGAGTTGGCATCTGCCCTCGATGCGGCGTGGAGCTTGCCAGCGACGACCAGGGCAGATGGGGCTAAAAGCTTGGGCGGCGACGTCACAATGGGGGCGCTGCGACGCGTTGCAGCGACCAGTGTGCGCCAAGCTGCAGCCCGTCGACGCGGTGATCGATATGCCATCCTTCGCGAAGCTAGAGCTGATGTCACCATGGCCTATCGCCTCGGGGCCACATCTTCAGGATTATGGGGCGGGGCCGTCATGGGCCTCCCGCCGTCCCAGCTCCACGGCCTGCGGGTGAGTGCGGTCACCAGCATGGGCCGTCTGCCCAAAGGAGCCAGCGTGGGGCTCCGTCTTCACTCGCACCGCAGTGGAAACCGCGTGGACCCGCTCGTGCTGAACACAGCGGAGGTGCTCCAGCAGTGGTGCGAGGCGGTGTGGTCTGGAGCAGTGGCAGCCAGGGTAATGCAGATGATCTTGGAGCTTGGCCAGCGGAAGCACGCAACTTCGAAGTCTCCTTGGCGGGTGGCGTGCTCTTCAACAGACGTCTTGGTCCTCACACTAGACCGCGTTGGTTGGAATATGGTCAGCGGCACCGTCGTCCGGACCGACACGGCGGAGCAGTACGATCTCCATAGCACTTCGCCGTGCCAGCTCAGGACCCTAGTGGAGGCTGCTGCCGTCCGGGCCTCTGAAAGAATGGCCCTCTGCAGGGTCGGGTCGGGTGTCGCCGCCGCGGCCGCAGGGGGCGAGGCTGGTGGGCCGACTCATCCTGGTGCACTTCCAGTGTTTTGGAGCGGTCTCAGACCACTCCTCCATCGCGTGACCTCAGTCTGGACGCTGCGTCAGCAGCGAGCTCTGAGGGCCGGCATCTGCAACACCATCTGGAGCCAGGCCCGCTTGCTCGGCCACGGTCTCGTGCAGGATGGCCCTTGCACGCTTTGCCGGAGCGGCCTCGGCACGGTGTGGCATCGCTGTTACGAGTGCCCGGCGCATCAACAATTGCGACGGGAGCGGGTTGGAGCGCGCCATCTGCTCCGGGCTACCCGCGCGCGCGAGTGGAGCGCGGAAGGCGCAGAAAGGTTTGCTCGAGGGCTCTTACCTTCACCGGCGCCCTTGCTGCCTCGTGTGGACCCCCCCGACTTGATTTCGTGGGTCAACCGCCCAGCCAATGGACTACTGCATGGACCGTTGTTCACAGACGGCAGCGCGTTCAACGTGGAGATCCCTGAGTTGGCCCGCGCTGGTTGGGCAGTTATTCAAGTCGATCGGTTCGGACGCATGGCGTCTGCCGCCTACGGGCCGGCCCCTTTCTGGGCTGGCCCGCGGCAGACTTTTGGAGACGGAGAGGATTTCGCCATCTTCATGCTCTGCGACCTCGTCTGGCCAGGCATCCATGACGTTTACATCGACTGCCAGGGGACCGTCGACACGTTGCAGGGCGGGCCTGGGGCCGGTGCCAGGCCGCAAGACCAACGACCTCACCTGTGGGGACGAGTGTGGGGACACTTCAGCTTGGGGGACTTGATAGCTCACGAGACTCTTGGGCATGCCGCGTCCGCTGATGTCGACGCGGGGAGGTCCACGCACTGGGAGCGGGAGGCCAACGATGCCGTGGACCGCTTCGCTAAGCTCGGGGCCCACATGCACGCGGGCATCACGTGCAGGGAGGTCCACCTGTGGAAGGGCTTTGAGGAGCTGGCTCGCGAGAGTGCCCGCTGGTTCGGCGAGCTGCAGGGCGCCATGGTGGACAACCGCCTGAACGACTGCGAGGACGTGCTTGGCCCTTCCAGTTCCCCGCCAGCGCTCCCTGCAGGAGGGGCCATCAGTGGAGCTGCGGGTGCGGATGCGCCGCCCGCCATGCTGGCCGCTGCCGCTGGCGCTTCTGAGACGACCGTCGGCGGCCAGGCCGGCGCAGCTGAATGCCTGCGCCTGGGCAGCCAGAGTGAGCTTGAACTTGAATTTGCACGGGGCGGGTCGTGGTGCGCCTCGGCGGGCATGCACTTTTATGTACCCACATAGTTGAGCGCCCTGCCGAGACCATCGCATGTTGTTTTCGATGCGGAGGTTTTTTTCTGCCCTCAGGCCCAGTGCTAAAATGCGGGGGCCGTGCCACGGGGCCCAGGCAGGGCCGCGCTATCGCGAGCAGCTGCGCCGCCTTACTGAGGGCAAGTTTCCTAGCACCAGGCCTCGCACCAAAGATCTGCACATAGGGGCCCCTGTTGGAATCGGCAGTGCTACGGCCAGCAAGCCACGTAGCACTTGGGAGCCGCAGCGGGCGGAACCACCGAATGAAGATGTGCATGAGGCGCCTGGGGCCGATGCTGCCCCGGCGGCTCTCCCGAGCCAGACGGAGCAGCGCCAAATAGTGCTCCGATGCTTCGGGCTGGTTGAATCTGATTTAGATTGGGCGGCAGAGATTGGGCGAATCTCCACAGGGAGAGGCCGCAGAGCTGACAGTGACGGAGATTCCTGGGAGGATGAAGCCTCCGAGCCTGATTGAGGCCTGTGCTCTTGGACTGTCTTTGAGACCACACTTAACAAAATCTCTCTCTCTCTCTCTTTGTCTATCTCTCTCTCTCTCTCTCTCTCTCTCTCCTTTTTTGTTGTTTCTCTCTCTCTCTCTCCCTCTCTCTCTCTCTCTCTCTCTCTCTCCACTGCTCAATGGAAGCATCTCAACCTACGGCGCCGTTGTGCGCGCGCAGCGTGCGGGCGCAGCTGGCAACGATTCGTCTGAGACTTATCGCGCCTATACTGCTTGCCCTGGCGCCATTGTTGTCGGGCAATCAAAGACCGCGGGCTCTCCTTGGGGCGTTCGATCCAGGCGCCTAAGAGCTGGGCCAGAGACCGCCAGAAGATGGGTCGGATCAAGCTTGGATCATCGTCCATCTTACCAGGCGCCATGACATCCGACAGGCGCTTGGCCGCACGAGTGGCCATCCACTGGACCTGTTTGGGCCCGAGCATGCGACGGTCGACCGACCTCCTGTGTCAATTGCTAACGTGGCAGCCGAAGTGGCCGACTGCCCTATCTGCTGCAACGTTAGAAGGTAAACGTGGGCTGGGCCCGTGGCACCGGCCCACGTCCTAGCGGCCCGGCTGAGGCCAGCAGCTGCCCACGTCCAAGGTGGCTTGCCGAATGTGGGGGGGAGGCCTTATAAGCCAAACCGCCAGAGCCCAGAGCCCCGCGGCCTGGCTATGATACAGTTACTGTGGGTCAATGGCGCTTTCTACTCGGGCGGTGGCAAGCTTCAGTCCCACCGAAGTGCCCTTCTGGCCCTCTTTGATGCTGGTAAGGGCGGCCCCCCTCAGAGGATGGAGTTGTCGCCCCCGAAAAACCAGCCACAGCAACCCCCCAGAGGGCCGTCGCCCGAGGCCCACTCCCTGAATGCTTCCAACCCTGACACCCGCGCTTTTCAGCTTGAGAAATGTCCATGACCTCTTGAGGCCTTTCTCGATCCGCTTGACCGCCGCGGTCACCACTCGTCTCTCGTTCGAATGAGCATCCGTGCCTAGGGACTTCGTGAAGAAATTACGCGAGAAGAGCTTGTTGTGCCATATACTGGATCAATCCTCGGCCAGCCCAACCGATGATGCAATGTAGCGGGCTTCCTTCTCAGAGAGGATGAGCTCCAGATCCTTGTAGCGGCAGCCAGGACCTTGACTGCTTCACCGAACTGCTGAAGGACAAACTTCCGAGTACCGATACACCGACCAGGACAGCAAGGGATTTTGTAGCTAGGGAAACAAGGAGTGGCTCACACGAGGCCTTAGGAGTGGCCCCGGAACCTCCCAAGAGGCCTCCTCCTGCCTCTCAGTTTTCCGTCTGTTTCCTCCCTCTCCTCCTCGTCCTCCTCTTCCTCCCACACGTGTGCCCCAAAGGGCTTCAACAACGGCTGGGGGAGATCGCATGCTCCAACAGCGTGGCCAAACGTTGCCCAAACGTTTGGCCTCGCATGCGTATACTTAAAAGCAGGGGTCGGCGGTGATTCGCCGTAGGCGTCTTCGTTAAGGAAAGGGGCGGAGGAGGAGGAGGAGGAGGAGGAGGAGGAGGAGGAGGAAGAAAAAGGGGAGGAAGAGGAGGAAGAGGAGGAGGAGGAGGAGGAGGAGCCAGCGTCGCTGCCGCGAATTTTCCCTCGCCCAACAATGGCAGGCGACGCGGGTGGCACGGGCGGCTCACATCCGTGCCGAGGGTGGAGTTGGCGGAGTCGGAGGAGCCATGACCGGCGGAGCCGCCGCTGGGGACACAGTCGGGCAGGCGGCGACGTGAGGCCCCTCGTAGATCAGCTGAGGCTCGAGGGGAATGGCTCGACGTCGTAGGCTGGCTCGAGGGGGCATGGTTCGAGGAGGATGAGGAGGATGAGGATGAGGATGAGGATGAGGAGGAGGAGCGAGGAAGAGCGAGGAGCAGGAGGAGGAGGAGGAGGAGAGGAACCGCTCGAGGCAGGCGGCGGCGGCCAAGCGGCAAAGCTCCTCCTCCAGAGCCTTGCCGAGGCTCTCGTTCTCCGCCCGCATCGCATCGATCTCCTCCTGAGTAGCGGGTCTCGGAGGGGCCGGCGCCGGGGAGGGCGCCCTGGGCCGCCATCGGGAAGATCGACCGTGAGGAACCAGGAGACAGCGGTGCGCAGGAAGGGGGACGAGGGAAGAGCGCAGGGCGACGAGCAGGAGAGGCAGCAGGGGTGGAGGAGGAGGAGGAAAAGGACCAGTGTAAATCCAAGAGTCATCAACGATGTTGGAAGAAACCCTCCCTCCATGCTCCCTATTTCCAATGAGGGAACTGCCTCGTTGGAAAACAATACAATAAGGAAACTGCCACGTTGGAAGACAACCGTTTGAAGACGCTAAAGCATGGGAAAAAAAAGGTTGGGGACTCCAACGCCACAGAGCAACCTGACTGTTGCGCCTCGACGATCCTGAGTCGCGCCATAACGCCATTTCTTGGACTTCAGCACCGCGAATCAACGTAACTGTTGCACCCTCAGAATCCTGAATCTTTCCATGACACCATTTCTGCTTCAACATGTTTTAAAGAGAATGCGCGTGGCGCAAATCCTTAAAGCTCGTGCACATGAATAAAGCGAATGCGTGCGGCGCTGGGGCGAGAACCACATGTTGAAAACGGCCCGCCCTCAATCCGTGAAACCCGTGCAAATGTTACAAAAACGAGTGTGCGCGGCGCTGAGGCGAGAACAACATTTGGAAAACGACGCGCCCTCAATCCGTGACACTTTTGCATACGCTTAGAAAATGCGCGCGACGCTAAGGCGAGAGCCGCATTTTGAAAACGGCCCGCCCTCAATCCGTGGAATTGCTGCAAACTGTTAAAGAGAATGTGCGCGGCGCTAAGGCGAGAGCCACATTCTGAAAACCACCCGCCCCCATGTGTGAAAATGTTGCTAATGTTTAAGCTTCAGGGTCATAAATGGTAAGGAAGTCCCATGCGAAACGCCCCGCCCGCCCAAAAACTGGCCTCGGGGTGCGATAAGGAGACATTAGTTAGAAGGAACAGAAATGGAGAAGGAGGAGGAGGAACAAATAAAAGCAGGAGGAGGAAGAGGTCCAGGACTAGCGGCGGGAAGCTTTTGACAGTTTTTCGGCCTGGGACCGTCAGAACAAAGACCCGGGATGCAGAGCCGGTCTCAGAGGGGGTCTGGACCTCTGGGGGCCCACGACGCGAAAAAACACGACGACGCAGATCCAAGGTGTGGTGCGAGAGGATGAACTCTACCACGGGGCCTCCAGGAGGGCTGGAGGGAGGGCGGGAGGAGCTTGAACTCCGCGAAGGAGGGTGGGAGGGAAGGAGGGCGGGCGGGAGGAGCTTGAGCAAGGGAGGAGGAGGAGGAGGAAGAGTCTCGTCTCGTTCTCTGCTTCCTCTCTCTCCCCCGCCACGCCGTGTGTGAGCTTTCGGCCCTTGCGCCTCTCTGCGCCTCCCAAGAGGGCGGGCCGGCCCTCGCCCACGGGTCCGAGCGGCCAGCCCTCGCGGGAGTGCCCCTGCCGGGCTCCGCGGCCGAGGGCCGCGGGAGGCCCCCCCCCCTGCGCGCCCCAGCGAGGGGTGCCTGGCGCAGGCGTGCGCTCCGCCGCCAGGCCCCGCAGTGCTCCCCCGCCCCCTCTCGCGGCAGCGGCCGCGGGCCGTGCGCCATGGACTAATAGAGCACGGCACCCCAGACGTCTGGCGTCTCGATGTTCTGGGGGCACGGGTCCTCCATCTCTCGGCCGACTCCCCGGGACCGGTGTGTCATCCCGAGCCGTTTTGTAGCCGACCTCGAGGTCTTGCGAGGGCCCCGAGAGGCCAGAAGGTCCGAGGAGGCGGGGAAAGAGAAGAACGGGGACGAAGGAAAAGCAAAATCGGCAGCGGCGGCGGCGGCGGCGGCGACGGGCGACGACGACGACGACCACGACGACGACGACGACGAGGACAGGCGACGACGACGACGACGACAGAGGCGGCGGCGGGGCGGCGGCGGCGGGGCGGCGGCGGCGGTGGCGGCAAGCGGCGACCAACGGCGAAGAAAACGGCGGCGCCAGGCGAGGCCTGGGACAGCGCCATGGCGCGCGCGCGCGCGATCGGCTGCGCGCGGGGGAGGGGGATGGGGAGGGTGGAGGGGGGGGGCAAAGCCTGGCGCCGCTTCTGGGCGCGCGAATGGGCGAACGACGTAGCAAAGAGGAGGAGGAGGAGGAGGAGGAGGAGGAGGAGGAGGAGGAGGAAGAGGAGGAGGAGGAGGAGGACGACGAAGGGGAGGTGATAGGTGATGAGATGAGACAGCGGCCAGAAGCCACTGCCATCGTTCCTCCTCCCCCCTTTCCTTCCAGGGCCGCAGGGGCCCACCCCGCCCCCGCGCCCTCTGCCTCGGGTGGGGGCCTGCCGCGGGGCTGGACGGAAAATCGCGCCGCGACCTCGCGCCGATGGCGCGGCCCAGAAGGGGAAGACGAGGGGAGGGTAGAGGTATGGGTACCTTTTCCTCCTCTGAGTGGGAGTTCTGTCCACGCCCGAAAAGTCTATGCCTGTGGCGTTTGTTTCTTCTAAAGGGAGGCCCCATTTCGCGCGGGCCTGGGCGCGCGGCAGTCGGGGCACACACTCGCCCGGGGCGACGAGGCTTGTACTAGAGCAGGAATATTAAAAAATCAAATAGTAGTATGGGACGATTTGTTTACTATTTTTGAAAAGTTTTGAGCATTTGGGGTCAGTTCGCACTTTTCGGTGAACATCCGCCTGTAGGGGACACGCCCGACCTAAGATAGGTCGGGCGTGTCCCCTACAGGCGGATTGTGGTAGAAAAATAGAAAAATGCAAAGAAAGGCTCAACAATAATCACACATCGTTCTTCACAAACAAAATAAACCGCCCCCGGACCATTGTTTCACTATTTTGTGACATTCCTCCTGTAGGGGGACATGCCCGACTTCAGGCGAGCGGGGGTCGACGCCTCCCCCCCTGAGCTTCTGCCCCCCTGCCCCTGAGGGAGGGGGCGGCTCGGCCCGCGACGAGAAAGGCTCCACGAAGCCACGAGAGCCTCCCGCAACTCTCGGGCCTCAGACCTCCGAGGGCGGCATGACCGCTCCATTCTCCGCGAGCCTTCCCTCCGTGACGCCCCCTCTGGGGCCCGTGAAAGAACCCCAAGGGGGGCCATGAAAAATAAGATGTTTGGTAAAACTGATGGATCTCCCCGTTTCCAGAACTGGCGCGGGCTTCCACTTGCGGTCCCCTTGCTCCTGCCCTTGCCTCCTTGCTTGCCCTTTCCCGCTTCTTCCCCTCTCTCCGCCGCTTGGCGGCTCAAGCCTTTTCAAAGGCCAAGCTGGGGGTCGGCCTCAGTTGGCCTAGGCCGGGCCCCGGGACCGGGGCCAGAAGACTTTCGGGACCTGGGACCAGGCCCGAAAGGGGGCGCCCGCGGCCGCATGATGCCGCGCCTGGCGCCGCGCGGCTGGGGGGCGGCGGCAACGCTGCCCGCGGGCGCGCAGCTGCGCAGCGGCGGGGGGCCCGGGCGCCGAGCGGCGCCGGCTCGCGCCAGCCGCGGAACACCCGAGGGCGAGGTGGCAGCCGCCGAGGCACGGCCGCCGCCCACCCCCGCCGAGCTGGCGGCCAGGCGCGGGCCCGCGCCGGCGCCGGCTCGATGCCAGGCGAGGGCGGCAGAGCGCGCGCGCGCGCGCCGGGGCCCGCCTGGAGGAGCTGCCCGGGGCCTCGGCGCCGCCGCCAGCCTGCGGGCGCCACAGCCGCGCTGCAGCTCTGCTGCTGATCCTCGTGGCGACGCTTGAGACCGCAGACGCCGGGCCCATGCTTTGGCGGACGGCTCCCGACCACGAGACCGAGTACATGTACTACGACGACACGTCGGACGTGGACATGAAGGCGTTCTGGCTCGACGGCACCGTGGCCCCCTCCCCGCGCGAGGACGCGCTGCCGATCGGGGCGCGCCCCGCGAGCGAGCACATTGCTACCGCGGGAGGTGCCGGAGGGGGTCCGCCGCGCGAGCGCTTCGCGCCGCCGGCCGACCCACCTCCCCAGGGCCCGACCCGCACCCCCCCCCCGACCCCTCCGACTCGGACCCGTCGTCCTGGATCAGGGGTTGGGGTCTTTTCGGCAACAGTTGGAAAGACATCGGCAACCGCACGCGCCGGTTCGCCGAGGGGATGGGCGGGGGCACTTTCAGGGCTGTTGGGAGCTTCAGGTCTGCCTTTTCGACTCGTGAGGCAGGAGGTGGTTGGCTGAGCTCAGACGGCGGCTGGGTGCTGTACATGGCCGACCAAGTGGGCCTCTACCTGTTCGGCTCCGCGTGGCCGCTAGTCGTCGGGCTCGCGGCGATCCTCTCCGGCACTGGCGTGATCGCGCTCCTGGCCCACAGCCTGAGGACGCTTTGCCTCCGCGGCTTGGACATGCGGTCTGGTGCTGGCATGCTGCCCCTGCCCAAGGCGCAAGACGCCTGGCGAGGCCAAGCTTGACATGCTGGTCCCGCCGGCGGCCCCGCCCCTCACCGACGTGGTATGGCATGGCCCGCCAGTGGGCGCGGACCCGACCACCGATTGGCATCGCAAGAGCATCAAGGAGGGCAGGGGCTCCAAGCGTGGCCAGAACGACCTCCTGATCAGGGTCGACTACCGAGTCGCGCGGCTCAAGCTCAACATGAAGTCCCCGGAGCGCATCAACCGCCAAGGACTGTGGGTCGAGTGCGACTCCGTGAAGGGCGCGAGCGACAAGGGCTTCCGGCGCGAGCTCGAGCAGCGCGACCCGCGCTGGCTCCACCTGCGCCGCTCCGCCGGCTGCACTGGGTGCAAGGGGCGCGAGAACGAGCTGCACTGCAAGGAGTACGCCGCCCTCGACAACGAGGCTATCGTGGACCTCGGCGACTACTCGAAGTTCACACCATGCCGGATCTTCGTCTGGCTCTGGCGGTGGTTGGGCTTGACCTACAAGCTGCTGCTGTGCGTCATCTCATGGCTTTCGTGCTGCGGGGCGTGCATCTGCCGCCGGCGACGCCGCCGTCGCAAGACTGGCGATGCGGAGCCTGGTGTGCAGGGGTCTGTGGCGAGGCTGCTCGACCAGGAGTCCGAGTCCGAGGTGGACGTCGAGGACAACCCCTGCGAGGCGGTGAAGGTGGGGCTCATGATCAAAGGCAAGATGCGTCCACTGGCGCCTGAAGGCTGTCGCGATGCCGCCCGCGGTGAGCCGACCGCGCCGTTGGTGGGGGACGGCCGAGCTTCGGACCTCACGCCCCCCAGTGAGGGGAATGCGACGGCTTGCCTATGCGAGCACCACAAGCAGATCTACATGGTCCTACGCTATGGCGAGAAGTGCTCTCAGGTAACGTGCTTCCGCGAGGCGGTGGGCATGGCCTCAGGGGTTCCACTCTGCCTGAAGCACCTCGGCGGCGACGCTGCCAAAGCGATCAACGACGCTCCCACAAGTGGCGGGTTCTTCGCAGGTTTGCGGCGTCGGACCTGGAGGAGCCCTGCCCGCGGAACCGCACGCCAGAGCGTGCCGCTGCCGCTCGAGCCCGGAGCCGCACTCCAGAGCGCCCCGCCTCGGCGGTCCCTGCCCCGGAGGCACCCGCCAGCCCAGGCGATCCTGTCCCCGCGCCTGCGGGACCACCGAGCGTGCGGTTTGAGGCGCCGCCGGTCCCAGAGTTCCCCAAGCCGCCCACGCCGCCGCCCATGCCGCTCGGGCAGCATTTCATCGTTCGGGCGAAGGTGCAATGGCCCGAGGGGGCGCAGTGGATGATTTTCAAGAGAATGGCAGCCGATGCCGCCGCAGCCAGCGCGGTCGCCGAGTACCTTGACGGCGCGATGGCCCTCGAGGTGGAGGACCCGACAGGCACTGTCATCCGTTTTCTGGTGAAGCCTGACGGCGTCATCCGTGCACCTGCTCCGGGGCCCTCGGGGCGCCTGCCCGCAGGGTTCATCGAGGAGATGCTCCACCACGCGCCCTTGGGTTGCGAGGAGCTCGGCATCAGCGTCCTGGCGACCAACATACCCGAGAAAGTCTGGCACAAGTTGGCTGCGTGGCACGGGCTCCCCGTGGGCGGCCGCGCCGGGCCACTCAGCGAGGCCCGCTGGCAGCTGTTCCGCGAGAAGGTGGTCAGCTTAGTCCGGTGGCACCCTGAAGGGGGAGTAGCACCCAGCCCGAGCTTCGAGGCGAGAGCTACCGAGGCAGACGCCAGATTGCGCAGCCACTGGCAACGGCTGGACCGTAGCAGCTCGCCCAAGCCGCCAGCTGGGTCTGCCCGGCGAGGTTCGCGCTCCCCGTCGGCCGAGGGCGGGCGCGCAGCTACCTGGGGAATCAAATTCCCCAGGGCGTGTCATAAATTAAAGCACATGGTCTGGCAAACTGGAGTGTCGCCGGACACGTGCTCAAATTTTCAGCACATCCCGGCGAACTGGTCATGGGTGAGCCGGAGCGAGGCGTATTTTTGAATGCGATCGCTAATTTCGGCGGACTGCATTCAATTTTTCGGTGTTCGCCGGACTTTTCGGTGTGTTCGCCGGACTTTCGGTGTGTTCGCCAGACTGCGATCCTCCTCCTCCGAATTTTTCCATCCTTAAGAATCCCACCAGCCCTTTGGGCGTGAGTGGTTTAGCGAGCTCTCTCTGTTCTCAACCCCCCTTCTTCCCCTTCGGGGAGGGGTTTACCCCGTCCCCTACCCCCTCCCCCTGGACCTGGAGAGGGGGTTTCGCGGGTGGTCAGAGGGTACTTTTTCTATCCCTGGGAGGGCTAAAATTCGACACCCCTCCTGAGGATTCTGGCCCCGACGGGGGGAGGCAGAAAAGTGCTCGCCCCATGCAGCTGTGATCGATCGCCCGAAAGATGGCCCCCAGATACCTCCCAGACCCCCCCCAAAGAGCCCCAAGAGGCCCCAAGAGGCCTCCAAGAGGCCCCCAAGGCCCCCAAGAGGCCCCCAATAGGCCCCAAGAGGCTCCCCCGAGGCACCCAAGACGCTCCTGGAAGCCCCTGGAGCCGCCAAGAGGCCCCCAAGACGCCCCAAACGGCCTCCAAGAGGCTCCCAAGAGGCCCGAAGAGGCTCCCCCAAGGCACCCAAGACGCTCCTAAAAGCCCCTGGGGCCGCCAAGAGGCCCCCAAGACGCCCCAAAAGGCGTCCACTACTACTACTACTACTACTACTACTACTACTAC